GGTCGAGGCTGTGGTGGCCGGGAACGGTCACTGCACTCCAGTCTGGGTGACAGAGTGAGACTCCAACTCAAAAAAAAAAAATCATTTCCTCTCTTTAAAAAAACCTGCCTTGGCAGGAGCACTAGACAAGGGGTCAGGGCTGCCGAATTTATGAGCTGAAATTGGTTCATTTCCTTCTGCCCCACCTTTCTCATTGTTTAATGCTGAATAACCAAATCTACTCCTCCCTCGCAGGGCTGTGTTGACTCAGAGGAGACTGAGAGGAGGAGGAACTTGGAGAATTCTGAAGCTGGCTCCATTGCCCTTCTGCCATGATGAGCCCGGAGGGTTCATCTCCAAGAGAGTTCTGGTGCACTGAAGACACTGACCCATCCCCAGACAGGCACTGAGGGATGTGCACTGACTGGTACCAGCAACAGGGTCAGACCTGAAGGGGCATTCCCAGTGATTCAGCTTAGAAAGTGAAATTCTCCACGCACTGACAAGCACTAATGCTTTCTCTGGGTTAATTATCTAGGTTCAACCCACCCCCCTCAATTTGTAGGGCTGAAATAGGTATTTGAGGCAAATCTAATGGTTTAAAAGAATTGCAGGAATACGGAACTGATTATTAACCTTGAGTAATTCAGGGTTTTTAATTGAATTGAATCTCACAATTTGATCCCCAGGTACATTTGCAAAATGTATTAAATTCCTAGCTGCTAGTGCCCTTAGGAGGGCTTAAAGAAACCCTGTGGTTCAAATGATTTCATGAAAACCTCCAGGACTTGGAGTCGACAGTTCTGCAGTGACCCACCTGATGCCTCCGTCAGTGAGGAGCCCTCTCTAGCATTCTTGAGACCTATCGATTTCAGTTTGAAGGAACCCCAACAAGGGGAATCTCACGGTCCATGCTAAGACAGCCTGTCCCATTTGGCGCATCTCTTTTGTTCCTTGTGTTTAGAGTGATGGGGTGTGAAAAACCAGTCTCTGGCTTGCAACCTTTTGACCAAAAATATACCCAGGGAGGCCCAGGACTGTCTGCCAGCCTACCTTCAGCTGTCAGGAAGCAGATACAGAAAGCATGAGATGAAAGCTGGGATGGAGGGAGGGACGGCAAGACAGAGGAGAGAAGGTGGGAAGGGACAGAATGATGGAGACAGAGGAGTTCGAGGAAGGAGTGAGGCAGAAGAGCAGAGAGAAAGAGTGGGAGGAAGGGAGGCCTGGGAGCTCTCCGGGGGACGCCCCTGTGGCTCTGGGATGAGAAGGGTGCAGGGTGGCCTGGCCCTGGTGCCCCCCTTTGGGGTGCCTTACCCCATTCTTGTCGAAAGCTCGGAACATGCCCTCTACGTACTGGGAGGCCGCCTCATTGCCGGAGACCCTGAAGAAGCGCTTAAACTCGTGCATGAAGAGGGTGCCGCTGGGGCACTCCACCACGAACTTCTTGTACCATTCTTGGAGCTCGGCCACGTCCATCTCACCGGCCGCCTCTGCCTCCTCCCAGCTGAACTGCTGCCCCATCTTGGCTGGAGGAACGTCAGGGAGCAAGGGTCTGTGGCACCTCCCAGGCCTCTGCTGATGGATTCCTTAGGCTAGGGCCCTCCTGCCTTTCCAAGAGGCGTGAGCAGCCTCTTCATCTCCTGGGCAATTGAATATGCTCAGCAGTGCAAGGGGCAGGTGGCAAGGGGAGTGGGTCCAGGCCAGCTAAGCTGCCCTAAGATCATTAGAAGATTCCTCTGGAAGGTCTGACCTCCAGCCTAAGCTCCCCCGGTCTCACCCCTCCCCTTAGCTTTGCCAACCAAGCAACCACACTGGTCCTGAGAGACTGAAGAGGGAGAAGGAGAAGAAACTGAGAGGTGGGCAGAGGGAAGTGGGTGGAGAAGAATTGGGAGGCCAGGCTGAGAACTTCCTATTTCACACATTCTCTCTGTCTCTCTTTTGGGATCAGGGTCTCACTCTGTCACCCAGGCTGGAGAGCAGTGGCATGATCATGGCTCACTGCAGCCTTGAACTTCTGGGTTCAGGTGATCCTTCTGCCTTAGCCTCTCAAGTAGCTGGGACCACATGCATGTGCATGGCTAATTTTTTTTTTATGGGTAGAGACAAGGTCTCGCTATGTCACCTATGCTGGTCTCAAACTCCTGGCCTCCCAAAGTGCTGAGATTTCAGGCGTGAGCCAGCGCACCTGGCCTCTCCCTGTCTCTTTAGTTGGGTGACTACACCGGTCCAAATAGGCCCATCTTGGCAACAGGAGACACAAGTCCAGAGCGGAAGTGAGACCAACTCCTAGCCCATGAACTAGAACCTACTGGTGATCTGGGACTCGCTCCTTCTCCACATGGTATAATGAGAAGACACAAAATCTGATGGGAAGGGCTCTAGGTGACGACTCTGCCCCCAGGCTAACTCAGTCCCTGGCACGGTATTCGAAGCTCCCTTACACATCACACTTTCCATCTTGGAAGGCTTTCATTTTCCAATTTAAAATACAAATGCTTTCCCCACCCTTCACCCAAGACCTGGACATGGTGCTGTCCTCACATTTCCTCCAAAGTCCTAGCATGTGAGAAGGATCTAGGAGCATAGCCTAAAATGTCTTTGAAGACACTTACTTTTATATGAAAGGTCATGCAAATTTGCTTTTGAATCAATTATATAGTCTCGTGCTTACTTTAATGTAATATGAAAATGACACCTTCAAGAAATCAGAAGATCTGGCTGGGCATGGTGGTTCACGCCCATAATCACAGAACTTTGGGAGGTTGAGGTGGGTAGATCACTTGAGCCCAGGAATTTAAGACCAGCCCGAGCAACATAGCAAAACCTTATCTCTACAAAGAAATCAAAAAATTAGCCAGGCGTTATGATGTGCACCTATAGTCCCAGCTACTTAGGAGGCTGAGGTAGGAGGATCACTTAAGCCCAGGAGTTCGAGGCTGCAGTGGACTATGACAGCATCTCTGCACTCCAGTCTGGGCAACAGAGCAGGACCTTGTCAAAAAGAAAGAAAGAGAGGAGAGGACAGGAGAGAACAGGAGAGGAGAGAAGAATCATAAGACTGGGAGAGCACTGATTTTTCTTTTTTTCTTTTTTTGAGTTGGAGTCTCACTCAGTAGCCCAGACTGGAGTGAAGTGGCCGCTCCTGGCCACTGCAGCCTCGACCTGCTGGGCTCCGGCGATTCTTCCGCCTC